AAGTTGCAACGGATCATCATGTAATGTTTCATAAGACAACACCAGTGTACACCAACATAGGCCGGTCGTGTTCATATTGGCCAAATGCGGATGGCCTGGAAATAATAACTGCTGATCATGGATAGATCATAAGACAACACGGTGTTAGTGTATAGTGTACAACATAGGTCAGGATGCTCTGCTCCAATCCGACGATCATAAGAAATAAGGACCTTATCATGGCGGATCAACCGTCACCGTTTTTGACTCGGCGACATCTTATGAAGCCCAACCCTTCATAGACACGCTGAACACGAGCTACTCCTATTGCGTCAAATATTGATAAGTCAATAACACACAGGTGAGAAGTATGAGCAAAGTATACCAACACGGTCTTAGATAATCGAGGTGGAAGTGGACTAGCAACCTAATTTGATATATCTTAATTGGGTTAAGACGACGATATCTGTGAAAGGTACGAATGTAGTAGTGTAGGGTCTCAGTTTCATTAGATGATTGTATGGCCTTGAAAGGCCTTTGATTAAGTTGGAAACGAAGGAATGGTATTAACTTGGGGTATAGGCAAAGGACCGGGTGCTGAAAAGCTTAGAATGGACAAGGTATGGATAGTAGTTTGATATTAGATTCAAACGCTGACCGGTACATCAATGCCGAGATCATAAGCTTGATGTCTTGAGGAAAGTTCTTCAACCTATTGCCATCAAACTTTGAATGGTATTAACTTGGGGTATATCATGGATGCTCCATCAATTCACGAGTTATCTACCTAGGTTTGGAAACATCTCACAATTCATGGGTCCACTAGATTTGATGGACACTCTATCTATCCGCATTGGTTCTAAGAGATATTCTTTTTTGGCCAAACTATAGCGTAGGGTAAAGTGGGTTGATAAATCGTTATTGTCCTTTCTCACATAAATTATCCTATGTCCTAATGATAACGCTGAGTTTATATGAGGGTTGGTGGAGGACAATGACGCCACTAGGGAGGTTTATGCCTCTAAGCTGCAAGATCTAAATCTATTGAATTAATGAAAATCTCTACACTGAGGTAATATCAATAGACAATGCTTAAATACGACTATATCCAACCCGAACACACCCTTTCTTGCGCCTAAACGTAGAAGGTAACCACTAACAAGCTAAAAAGGTCCTCATATCCTTTAGCGCCTAACCTCTTAACCCACTTCCAAGGAAGGTCACCCTCTTTTGTCCCAGCTAAAGCCGAACACATAAGCCATAACAAGCTAAAAAGGTAAGCTAAAGCCAGAGCCATATAACTCTCACGGCTGTGCATCAGAAGTCCCGGATGTTCACTTACGTATAAGTCCTTAGGGAGAGGAATCTAGAGCACCATAAAAACAGACCAATGCTCTAGCCCCCTTGTTCCATGTTGCTAAAAAGCATCTTTTAATGTTTATTGCATATTACATTAGTCAAGTTATAAGATCATGGTTGTAGTTGAGCACTAGCATCATATTACCCAATGCAATACCCCATAAGTATAAGGTATAAGTACAAAAGACTAGGATATCCCTAGTGGTAGTCAAGGTAGACACATGCAGTATGAATTAAATGATTAAATATGTATAGGACAACAAGGAAGATCCCATGCTATACTTGCCTTAAACACCGATCCTTCGGTAAGCTTTAATCTTCAACGTTCTTCTTCTTCTTCTTGATCACCACGTATATCTCACCGACTAGACTAAATCATATAGCACCACACAAGCATCCATACAATCATACACGAAGCAAACAATAGATCTAAATTAGAACAGTACACCAATCATAAAATCAAGATGAAAAGGTTGTAAAATGAATCTACGTCTCGCTACGAACACACAGACACAAAAAGCACTCTAAACAGAGCTACGGTTAAAAAGATACAACTACCGGGAGATTTGCATCACAAGAGTAAAGGCTACATGCTTGTTTTATTTTAAGTACAAACCATGTGAAGGATATTAATTTAGTCAATTTACATTTTAATTGAAGAGCCGAGTTTCTAATCATCTTTTATTTGCAAATATGTCTCATATCATTTAAGTCATTTAAACTTTACTCTGCAAAAGAAATAAACTTGTGAGAGCATCTATTCGAGTTTATATAATCAGGTTCAAACTAAGCACGTTATATTTATTTAATGAAACATAATGAGGTTGGTATTAATCAAATCAACATTTATTTGTAAAAGAATGATGCATAGAACCTATATTAATTTTAATTAGAAGCTACTTGCATAAACATTAATCATATTAACTTTTATAAAATTCACAACATGTTACATGGTAAACATCCTAACTAACACGCCAGAAAAATTGAGACTAACGCAAAAAGAACGACTTAAACAGAGGATTGAAAGTTCAGAGATCTACTGTGGAAAGGATGCCTATACTCAATGAGCAGTTCATGCAGGTAAGGGCTTATGTGTATTGTCCCGATTCTAAAATCTAGGAGTGAACAGAGAAAGATGGATTCCTGTGCAAGGGTGAGGTAAGTATGATATCAGCCATATATTTGATACTCCGTATATTGCAAGAGACTACAGGTGCGGATGGCTTGTTAATCATGGACGTATAGGTTCTGCTCTCCAAGCCCGGCAAGACTATGCTTGCATGCTGCACCTGCACACGATGATGGTTCTGACTTTTGCATGCGGGTGATAGATGGCTTGGAAATCTAGACGCAGCAGCAAGCAACGTTAACGTACTCTGTAGGTTTCCTCGGCATGCTGATCGTCTCCAACAAGAGAAGCCGCGCGTGCTAGTGCAGGCACAGGGACGGGGTGGTTGGCAAATAAAAATCTACGGCTGACGATGCTTCAAAGACGTAAAAGAGATCAGGAGAGAGGAACATGCAGAGGGTCTCACCGGTGACGGAGAAGAGCAGAGCGGCTCCAGGTGCTTTGGTCCACTAAATTTCCACGTCCGACAATGTTCTGGTCCACTAAATTTCCACGTCCGACAATGTTCTGGGCCTCTAGGATCGGCTTCGACGGCGACAGCGACGGCGAGGGAAGGACGAGAAAAATCTAATTTAATATATGAGGAATTTTCCAAACTAGAGGCTTTTCTTACGGTGGTTTTAGTGTGCTTTGCTCAATCGGTTGGTTGATATATATAGGAAGAAAAACTCCTCATATCCACGTCAACTAGCGATATGGTACTAATTGATGTTACACTATCCACATTTACTAATGGGCCTAAATAATCATTAAAGCCCATTAGTAAATAAATGCATGGGCATTTAGGATTTATTAGGATAATTGCACATGGGCTTTGAGGGTTGGAAAAAAATGAGAGATTTATTATTTTCGGAATTATTTAATTTCGTGGATAAAATAATTCTAGAAAAGGGATATTTAAGCCACGAAAAATACTCTGAGACCACCGAAAATTTGGGGAAAATTCTCAGAGACACTTTGGAACATGATGAACCCAAATAAAGCATTTAGAGCTTATAAAAAGATTGTTGGAAACTTGGAACATAAGGATTAAGGTGAAGGAGGTACGAATTAAATTTCAGAAAGAAGCTAGAAAATTTCTAGACTTAGATATTCATCTCCTAAACGTATAAAAACACACATTTTGCACATAGAAACACGATGTGCGACCGGCATGAATGCAACAAACACGTTTCTACCTTATGATAAATTTTAATTTAATGAAAATTTTTATTTTCCTATGTTTTCATGAGCACAAAATTCCAAATTAAATCATTTTAGCTCTATTTCCAGAAATTCAAATTTTAGGGTGTTACAAATGCAAAGGAAGACACAGAGAGCGAGAGAGACAAAATATTAGGTGGAAGCAGTGAGGATGGTGGTGAGAAAGAGTGGAGACGCGAGCTATTGTTTCAATCGCAATTGAAAAAATATCGGATCAGGAGGTGCGGGGTCATAGTCATGTTTCATTCACACATGCTGCTCATGACTGACCCCTATCATCAGAGACACTGCAGTGACATGTGTCTGTGACGAGGAGTCATCATAGATAGGTCATCTATTGGCGCGGGGGACAACACATGAAAGACATGTTCCTTCTATAGGCGTCTCTATTAATATAGAGACACGTTTCAATTCCATGTCTCTAAATTGGCCTTTATAAAGTTTTGACACAGTGAGTAGCTAGAGGTATGTGTAAAAAAATCTTGTACAAATGGCTTTAAAAGCACTTCTGTATTCTTTCTCTATGGTATAATTTTCATCAACGTGCTCTGTCACATATCAACCGGCACATATAGTATGCCTTCCGCAATACACATCAGCCAACGGCAGTCGCGCAAGACCGGCCGTGTCCCACGTACAAGGAAGGTGGTACGTGGGACGTGGATCGATACTTTTAAGTTCCCAAATCATTAGGTGATATACCTCCCTCGGGAAGATTGGTTCGATGACGGGATCATGATCCATGGATAATTGGGGCGTATCTGGAACATACCTATAGAATGAGGATCATGATCCTAGGAATCAGGACAATTTATTCTATTCGATCTATTGTATAAAAGAGGTTCAATCCTTGGTGATTTTTCATGTCGTTTTCTCCTTGATGTATATATATAAAATAAATGTTATGAATTTTTTAAAAAATTATATGTTATGTCCCATGGGCCTGCGGCGTGTGGGCTAAGGCCCATTTGCCAACGTATTAGGTCTCCAACCGGCGTACAGCAAACGTACGCACGCTCGCCGCCGCCCAGCATCCAAGCATGGATCGATCCGTCGGCCAGCATCCATGCATCGATCCATCGCTCGCGATCCGGGGCGCGTCCCAGGCATCGATCCGTCGCTCGTACCGCTTCGTCCCGAACCGCGTTCCGTGTGACTGACTCCGGCCGGCGTCAACCGTCGCGTCCGCTCGCGGGCAAAGTACACGCGTAACTCCTCCAACCTCCGTCCCTTCGCGCGGTACTTAAGAAAGCCTCGTCGCGGTGACAATGCCGCACACTGCACGCATTGGGGCATTGCCACACTCCCGACAGTTAACGCTGCGGCAGCCATGTCCGACGAGGTGTACGACGCGGACGGCGACATCAGCCGCTACCTGCAGACCCCGTCGCTGGATTCTCATGTGCTCGCAGTGCCTGACGGTGAGCCCGTGGCAACGCACGTCGGGGCGCCACAACATGTGCCGCCCGTTCAAGGGGGCGTGGCCTTACCAACGGCACCGCCGCCGCCGCTGAACATGTCTATGGCGTTCGGCAACGACGACGATGTCCAGAACCACGGGATGACAAAATAGTGTTGGGATGACAATCCACCTTTGCCATCTTCGCCCAAGAACTGAAGATCCGAGGGTCGCGAGTGCCCAACAGTGAAACTCAAAGGCATGGTGAAATGAGAACTTTATGGAAAACACATTATTTTCTCTAGTGACATATATATTCCAAATTTATTGAGAGGCAAACAAATGCCTCCCAAATTACAAACACCCTATCTATTCGTGGCATATTCTAGGGCATATTGGTCTTCTCCTAACTTTTAGAAACTCTGCTACAGCGCCCTTCTCATCTCTGTCAACATCAATTGAGCAGTGAGAAAACAAAATTTTTACGCAGTATGATATGTATCAGTGTATGTAGCTCAGCCTAATGATTCACTAAATCCTCCCATACAACAGTACTGTAGGCTCTCATATTGTAACAAATAATCAGCAAGCTTGGCTAGAGCCCAGCCAGGAAGAGACCAACACTCTAAACCTCCAATGGTCAGGACAGTAGTGCACACACGTAGCATATGCGCTGGCGCTGTTGTATGCTCCGCCACACGCCGGTGAGTCAGGGCTGGCGACTTGACTTTGTATATATATGCGAGCGAGGCCGGTGGTCTCCCTGGACCTCCACTGCAGGCTGCGAGCCTCTCCATAATTGACTCAAGGTTTTGGATAGAGATGGATTCGGATGTCTAAATATCCGAATCATCAGATATATATTCGTATCCGTTTTAGCGTCAATGTGGATATATGTATTCATATTTAATTTTAATATGGATCTTAAATGGATGTATTCGAATTCGTTTTCTATGACTATTCCCTATTAGATTCCATATCCGTATTCGGAAAAATGTAAAATATCTAACAACATTTGTATCCGTGAAGAACAAAGTACCATCTGAAACATATACCTATGACTAATTAACAATGTAATTAATAATATATCTCATCTAAACTATTTAAAAGTTATATATCTCTATGTCTAATTAGGCGAATCATAAAGGTTAAGTTTAATTTATAATAAATTTAAAATTTATATATATCATAACTTGAAACTATTATAAACTTCTATGTATATATGATAATTCATTATTATAATTAATGATATATAAGGGTGAAGTTTAATTAACTTTAATATGACTAATCATACCACAATATGGAATGCCCTTAAGGGTCATTATATATGCTTGAGGGGCGAGATTGAATATACTCTTACCTTTTCTTTTTGCGAGGTAAGAAGAGTAATATACTCTTACCGTTCAGTTGTTTCTCTCGTGTAATAAAAGTTCAGTTCGTGTATTCGCAAAACAAAAGTTCAGTTCGGTTTTTTTTTTGGTTAAAAAAAACAAAGGTCAGTTCGTTTAAATGGTTTTTAAGTCCGAACAAAAATAGCTAAATGATGGCTGACCGTTTAGTCCGCTTCAACGTTTAGGCTAACACCGCCTTTATTTTATTTATTTATTTATTTGATTCAACACTGCCTTTATTTGACACATACAGGACGATGACGTCCATATATAGACACAAGACCTGACCAAATTACAGGGTAATCGATCCAGCAGGTAGTAGCTAGGTAGCTTGCTGTTCAAATTAAAGCTGACGCAAGTAAACACCGATAACATCGACGAGCCTGCTTCCCGCACGTCCATAGAATCCTACAATGCTGCTGCCGATCGGCGCTGTGATGCAGAAACGTGTTCCATTCTCGATCCCCGGCCCCCAGGTTCTGGCGCTGGTGACAAGTCTGAATGAGGTTAAGGTAGTAACACCTTCAAATGTGCCGTATGTTCCTAAAACTTCCTTAACATACTCGGTGTCACCAAGATCGATCTGCACACATGAGTGACGAAGATAAAGACAGGGGCTAGCTGTTTAGGCCCCGTTCGCTTCGCTGAAAAAACAAGCCGAAACACTGTTTCAGCTGATTTGCTGTGAGGGAAAAACATTATTTCGGTTGAAAAAAAACAAGTTGAAAAAGACGGATTATAAGAGAAGCGAACAGGGCTGTGCCTCCGATCCATCAAGAGGATGATATAGATATGATGGACCTGCAGTATGCTTAATCCAAAGGTAAAAAAGAAAAACACACTCACTGTTCGAGCATTGCCACCAAGTCCACCCCATCGGCCAGCAGTCTGCCTCTGACCATCTTTGCCAGTATAAGTGAACTCAATGGCGTCAATTGCATCACCAGCGCGAGCGAGGTGAGGCTGTGCAGACGATTCGGTGGCTCCGTTATGTCCTGTGCCGACCCTCCCGGTCCACCCCATAATCCAACCTTGGTGACCACAGATCCCCCCTGCTGCCCCTGCATGTATCCACAAAGTTTTATATATCACAAAAATCAAATGGCTGTTAAATACTCCTACATGCAGCTGATAAGTAAGAATATATACATTCTAGTACTACCAAAATCTATTTTTCTTGTTCGCAAAAAAAAAAAGATTTCTTTCATATATATATATATATATATATATATATATATATATATATATATATATATATATATATATATATATATATATATATATATATATATATATATATATATATACCTTTGCCTGCTGTGATGAGCCAAACACCTGAGAATACACCAAATATGTTGGGAATGTATTAGGTATAGAATGGGTAATCTTGAGAACAGCCATTTGCCCATTTATATGGCTATCAATACGATGCTTACAGTTACAGCAAATGAAGAGAGATACTGTGAGACCCAGCCATTGGTCCAGCTGGGCCGGACCGAATTCGCGACACTGTAGTGGGGGCTGTAGCAACACAGAAAACACTGTGGCAGCCAAGTTTAGTACTTGTTTAGTTGTTTTTTTATGTCACATCGGGTGTTATGTCGGGGTGTTGTATGGGATGTTTGATACTAATACAAAAATAAATTACAGAATCCGTCAGTAAACCGCGAGACGAATTTATTAAGCCTAATTAATCCATCATTAGTACATGTGTTACTGTAGCACTTTATTGTCAAATTATGGACTAATTAGCCTTAAAAGATTCGTCTCGCAAATTATTCGCAAACTGTGCAATTAATTATTTTTTAGTCTATATTTAATACTCCATGCATGTGTCCAAACATTTGATGTGATATGGTGTAAAGTTTTGGAGGAGGAACTAAACAAGGCCTTAGTACCATACTGGAAGTTGGAGGAGAGCTGAGCCAGCTTAAAAACCTAGACCTGAGAGGCTGTGAACTCCGGATCGATGCTTCTGCACGAAGCGAGGACGAAAGGACAAGATACTTAATTAGCAGGTGTGGTTCATTCAACATGTAGAGTGGGTCTTAGCCGTCTTTTTGGATCGAGACGTTACATATACTAGCATGATGGGCATGCTACGCTCCGCCAGTTTCTAGGGGGGAAATCCGCGAAAAGGAGCAAAAAAAAAGCTTTCTAGAGGGGGGAAATCCGCGAAAAGTAGAAAAAAGCAAAAAGATAAAATAAAAAATAAAGAAATAAAATAAAAACGAACAGTGTGGAGCAGTGCCCAAACAGTGCGGAAGCCCTAAAGTAGAAAAAAAGCAAAAAGATAAAATAAAGAAATAAAATAAAAACAAACAGTGTGGAGCAGTGCCCAAACAGTGCGGAAGCCCTGAGAGGCCAGGGATTCCTAGCGTGTTAAAGAGAGTAGTTATAGTTATAAAAAAAAGTTATAGTTATACATGCTCTCAGATGACATCTACATGCACTATGCACTAGTACACAAACAAGCTGTATTTCTGGTTGGGAAACCCCTTCAATCCCGGTTTCCCAACCAGGAGACGAATCCGGGACTAAAAGGCCCCTTCTTTAGTCCCGGTTTCTCGTCCGGGACTAAAGGTGTAATACCAACCGGGGCTAAAGAGGCCTCCCGGCCTGGCCACGTGGGCCGGCTCTTTAGTCCCGGTTGGTTTTTCTTTTTTTTGTTTCTATTTTCAATTGATGATTCGTTTTGGTTTTCGAATACGTATTCTACGCTGCTAATAATATACGTATTCTACACGTTTATAATGTTCGAACATTTTGTACAAACTAAAGTATGAAACTAACGTATATATTACATGCATATACATATATTGTACGTTATTTTATGTACATATAATATGTATATATATATATTACAAATAAAGCTTACATTGTATATTCTATCATATCTTTAGGATAACAAATTCACTCTATCTGGTTTGGCTTCCATGTTTCGTTCATGTCATTGTAGAACTCACCGGCGGGGTTTAAGACCTAGTCATTAAGAAATCCTGCTATGGTCTCTTGAATTCCTTTCAGTTGGTCACGTCGTATGACTTTTTCCTTCAACCATAGAGTCTTCAATAAAAGTTAAAGAAAAAATGTTAATATATATTGTTGGTCACGTGATTACTTATATATATGAGCAATAAAAGAAATTGTGAATATATGAATATATTTATATAACGTACTTTGATGATCTCTTTAGGAGTTCTTTTTGAGTACGCCATGATGAACTCACAAACATAGTATCCGCAGTAGTTGGTCCCCTGTTCTTACCTCAGAACCCACTTTTATGAGAAAAAAGATCCGGTGAATTGAAAGCATGCATGGTGTTAATTGAATTATATATATATAAATGTAGCTAGTACTTACTTTATGTGCGATTACATCCAGTGGCGCTTTACAATGTTTCATGTGGTGTTCCTCAATGAAACTTTTCCAAACATTGCACCCAATAAAATAAAAATTTAATTTGGCCTTTAATAATTGTTGCAGTTAAGAGATCGGGATATATATAGTTGCTAGAGAGACCAAATTACCCTTAGATAATATCTATCATGTCTTGATACTCTGTTCGCTCTTTTCTTAATGAGTCTAAGATGCTCAACCGATTATTGGTCATATCGATGGCCATTAATATCCAGTGATTGCTGCATATGTTTTTATACATAAATATGATCGACATTAACTAGAGTCAACATATATATATATATATATATACGGGAGATAGCTTAGCTAGTAAGCAAATAATTGAACAAATGTCCATAAGATCGACATTAATTATTTAACACT